ACGAAGAAGACACAAAATGTACTCCCAAACAGCTCTTCAGCCCCTATAGAACGACACCGACTTATGTGAGCAGCAAGAGTGGAGGTTGGTGTTCCGCCGTTCCGCTTTTAGGCGACACACAACAGTTGGAGCTGGAGCTGTTTCGATGGCGACAACGAGCCTGTTGCACCCACGGGGGAGATATGTGTGTGCTACTCGGGGAACCGTAGGAATACGAGTTGGCCATCATGCAACACTAGGAATTCATTGCCAATCTTCACGGACCTTTATTATCTATTGTGGAGGAGATGAAGTGTTTGCAAAAAAGTAACAACGAACAGGTCGGGCAGGGACTTGCAACGGAAGTGTAGTCTATAGTTCAGATGTTAAAGGGAATCCAAAGCAGCCCGTGCCTGGAACGCAAAGAAAGAGCGGCTTACCGAACTCTATAGTTCGGATAGTTATTCGTCAAAAATAGCTCCGTATTGGCTTGACAGCAGTAAGGCGCCAAAACCTCGCTTCGAGTCTCGCTGATAGATACCCCACAACCTCGTGCACATCACTAAGAATTGACAATAGCCCTTGTTTTTTGTCGCTAGCAACCAAGTGCACATCCGACAACCTCCCCTGAATGTCGATTATCTAACTTGCTTGCCCACCCAATAAGCCATCTGGCTTGCCCAATGGTTTTGACTAGATTGTATTTTCTCTGCTCCCGTGCCACCTAGACCGCACAGAGCACCCGAAACCCGTACGAGGCGCGAGGGGGTAAATTTTAACTTTCCCCCAAATGTTTCCTTTCCCTTCACCCGGTGCGTCATTGTGAAACACAGGAGCTCATGCCTCTACGAACGGCGTCAGCGTAGGTGGATCGACACCCCCACCATCCATTGCGCAAGCCTTTTTGACGGGGCTACGCAGCCGTATGGCGGAGTGCAGCCAAGACTTGCAGCGGATGCTGCAGGACGCAACTCAGAATGGACTGGTCTCAACAGAGGATCCATCCATGCAGCACTTCATTGACGCTGTGGAACACCTGAACGCGGCACAGCACATGGCCACGAGCTTAGCCACACCTTTGGCTATGGCCGAACAACACGTCCAGACGTTCAAGGCGGCGCTGCAGATTGCCCAACAGAACGCCGTGGACGGCGCGGCTCAGCCTTGTAAGCAAGCCCGCGTTTTTATGAATATTCATGGAAGAGAAAATGCCTAACATGCGCTACTCTTTAGCCGCGAACCAGAGAATGGCTCATGTTGTATGCTTGTATATGACAAGGTTGCTTGTGGTGGTAGCTTGGCGATCTCGATCGACGTGTTGCCTCTGGTGACATGTTGGGTTTGCATGCTCCGTAATAACAGCAAGGAAACTCAAAGCATTGTACTTCTTCTCAACCGTCCAGTTTGGTGTTTTGCCATACATACGTGCATGCGCGACCAGCTATCAACCGTTCACAGGACACTCCGGCCCAGCAGCTGACTGCTCTCCTCCTAAAAAACAAGAACGACGCCCTGCAGGCCGAAGCGGAAATTATCCTCGCCCGCTTCTGGAACCAAGGTATCGCACACCACTACCGCAAGAGGGCCGAGTTGTTGGAGAGCGCCTACTTCGGAAATGGCGACGAGCGCGCTGTTGTCGTCCTGCTGCGGCACGACAAGGACATGGCGGAAAGCGCGTTCGCCGATGCGAGCACCGTGGACTCTTCAACCCAGCTTTCCGGGGCCGCCTACGTTCACCGCGACGCCATGATAAGGTGAGCAAACACTACCGTTTCTGTCCCTAATCTGGAGAATTGGTTCCGTTTTGTGATAACGCGAGATCCTTGACTCATCGCTGAACATTTGCATTTGGTCGTCTAGGGATGGTCGGAACCTGTGCAGGCATGTCTAGGTGCCAACGAGTAACGTGCACGGTCAGAGCTGCGCGGTAAGCTGTGCGCCTTGCACTACCGCTAATGCTCTCCGTTTGCCATTATTGGTAGGGATGTACGTAGTCTAGCAGTGATGCTCCTTTCGTTGAAGGTATTGACGTTTGCATACTGATTTAGTTGAGGCCATTTTTTTTTGCCTACCCACCGGGCCCGCTTGCCAGGATCTACAATCTCCTTACCAGCATCGAGGATATTCCGGGCCTGAACATCTAAATGGGCACCGATCTCATCAACCAAGATAAACAAGCGGTCCATTGCGGGCTGCTTGTTTCGACCGGATCGGCTAGCAAGAAACGAACCGATACGAGGCATTTTGAGGTGTTATATCAAAATCTTCGGTTGTGATTGCCCTTCCTAAACCGCTACGTGACGTATCGCTTCATGAAGGGCACTGACACCCAGATGGTTTAGATTATTCTCTCTGTGTTGCCAGTAAAGGTTTCGGAGCACAGGTGTGCGAGATCAAGGATCGTTCTTTGGTCTCTACCTCGATTTTATGGAAGTATTTGTTGGGGGGGGGGGGGGGGGGGGGGGGGGGGGGGGGGGGGGGGGGGGGGGGGGGGGCGATCGGTACCCACCAGAAGAGAGGGACCCGGCCTGCCCGGCTACCTTCTTTGTTTATGAAACTGATTGACAATGTCTCCGTACCCCCTACAGTATTGTGCATCAGCGCATGGGAATCCCGCCCCGCCCCCGGCCGAACGCAAGCCAGAGATTGTGGTTGCAGGTTTGGGGATAGGGGACACACGCGTGAGACATTACTGCGCTGTCTAGGGAGCCGAAACTGCTGTCGTGATAGCGAATTTCGCTCACCTTGCAATCGGCAGATGACGTTTCGACTCCTGCGGTTTACTTGCTTCCTAATCAGCGCGGTAATGTCTCATGCGTGTAGCCCCTATCCCCCAACCTGCAGCCACGACCTCTGACTCGCGTTCGGCCGGGGGGGGGGCGGCGGGATATTCTCCTCTGGTACGGAAAACCGTACCGAGAACCAATTCAAAGTGGATGGAACACAAGAGTTATGCAACATGGAGGCAGGAAGGCAGGCAGGAAGGCTTTCTGGGCTGTCCGGGAATACCTCAGCCGTGCTTGTGGCGAATCTGCATCAGAAAGAACTTGTTCTGTGTTGTCTTAGATTGTTTCTGGTTCACCAAGTAGTCTAGGATTTGAAGTTGCGAACCGTGTGCCGGTGTACGGCAGCGTGGGGGCTCTCGAGTGTACGCTGTTCTGTCTTTTCTTGTCTTGCCTTCGAAGTCATCTAGTGAGGTTGCAAGCCACGAGCATTTTCTATTTTGTGGTATTTTCCCTGCGATATCGGGTAGTAAGTAAGTCGGTTGGGTACACGACTTTTGGTTAGTAATGTTTCGGAGCACGGTTATCTAGCGAGGGAGCACGAGCGTGTGCAGAGCAATGCCCGTTGTTGATCTTCTGTACGGGAAATGCTAAGCAACACTGTCATTCGGCTTCGCCAAAGCGCAGGTCGCGCTACGACTTTTTCGTGTGTTGCACTGTCCGGTTGCAAAAAATTGTGACGAATACAACGTGTGTTCCGGACACTCAGGGGGGAAGTTTTTTCGACACGTGTTGGTAGGTATCGCCTACCTGCTGCTGGGGGGTTTATTACCATATGTCAGCGAGTCTGAACGAACGAAGATGGTGGGTGGGAGAATGTGCGGTCAGGACGTCCAGCGGCGGGGGGCGCCGGCCTGCTTCATCGGGTGAATAGTCAAGCCTGAGAATCACCGCTTGTTCTGGTTCTAAACCTGTTTTCGTGGATAAGACGAAGTACATTGGATGGCTTGGGTGTTGCGTTGAGGGGTGGCTATTTACCGATCTATGCGTATGTGTATGTCTCGTGCTGGAGATTCGGTAATATCGGTGAAAGCTTCCTCTGGTGTTTTGTATGTGCTGGGGTTTTAAATTTCGTCTGTGGTAAACGGGATGACAAAAAACGAAAATCTTCTTCATATTGGCTTTTTTGGGCGGTGTTTTGGAGGAAGGACATGGAATACAAGCGTCGATGAAACATGGTAAAAGCCTGCGTGCTTCCCATGCGTACTTGAATTGGCCAAATGACATGAAGCTGGGATACGTTCGGATGCATACATAGTTGACAACATCACAGGGG